TGCAAGGGCAACAGCCAGATGAACCAGGACCGGTACAAGATTGACCCAACAGCGTCACACCACTTCGAATCCTTTACGTCCTGTGTGCGTTTGGTGGAGAACTTTCAGCCAAGCATGGTTCTTCTGGAGAATGTCACAGGGATCTGCAAAACACGCGGCAAGGATGGGTGCGGCACAGTCTTGGAGAGCATCATGAAGCATCTCAATTCCTTGAAAGGTTACATTTGGCGGCACTGGTCTATGGACACGTTCGTACTGCCCACCATAAGGCCGCGGGTGTACTTTTTCGGCACACGGCTTGGAGAAGAGAAGCTGCAGACAGTGTCAAGCAGGCTGGAGAATCTTCTCGGCTATGTTGAAGGCATGCCCCGGCACCACCTGGCAAAGTTCTTGCTGAAGCAGCCTTCCTTAAGCCCGTACTACGAGCGCAGAGGTGATGAGACTGTCTCGGAGCAAAAGAAAGCAGAGCAGCATGCTGCTTATGCAGCCGCTCTTGCAAAAGCCCGCAAGCGAGCATCTGAGAGGTCAACCGGAAATCTCCCAGAGTCAGAGGCCTTGCCTGCGCTTCTGCAATCAGAGTCAATGCATTGCCCGTCGGCAACGGCCTGGATGAAGTCTCAGATTGATGTCTATGACGCCATCACCAGGAAGATGCTTGCAGAGACCGCTGTGCAGAGTCATGTGGCCCACCGCATTGCTGATGCAGCTTGACTGTGTCAAACTTCTATGGCTATTTTAGATAATACGATAGCAAATTTTCAGTGTTTGCCGAGGTTGGCCAAAGCACCAATCGCGGCACTGCGAACGTGGATGGTATGACGGGCACTTTTGCTTGCTCGGCCAGGCTGTGGTCCTTTAAGGAACATCGCATGATTCTGCCGGAAGAGCTTATGGGGATGCATGGCCTTTGTGACTATGACTTTGCAGGCCTGAGTCAGGGTCAGTGCCATACACTGGTTGGCAACAGCATGAGTGCAACAACGCTGGCGGTGGCCTTGATCCCCGTGCTGGCAGCTCTCGACCAATTTGTGCAGAAGTGACCAGTGTGCAGCAGTAGCCTGCCAGTGTCATGCTGTCACATGGTGTCAGCTTGCTGTCATATTGCAGTCAAGCATTTTGGACTGACGACAGTCGTGACACTCCAGCGCGGAGGCTTTAAAAAATTGGCCCATCGTGACTCTT